AGCCTCACCAGATCCCAGCATCCCCAAATCCCTTCATCCCCAAATCCCAGCATCCCCAAATCCCCAGCACCCCAACATCCCCAAATCCCAGCTGCTGCAGGCACAGCATCCTGGCATCCAAATTCCCTTGCATTACAAAACCCCAGCTGCCACAGCACCCCAGCCCCCCAAGATCCCAGCTGCAGAAACTCAGTATCCTGGCTCTGCTCCAGGTTGATCCATTCCAGTCCTGGCTGAGTTTCCCAGGCTCTGCTGCAGGACACCCCCAAGCCTGGCAGCAAACCCCACCAGAGGGAGACTCGGCTCAGAATTCCCTGCTGCAGTTTCTTTGAGATCATTCTGTCTGGATTTTGTTTTTTTTAAGTAAAAAGTTTTCCTCCACACTTCTGCTGGATCCCAGTTGTGTGGAATTCCAGAGCACAGGCTCAGCTCGGTTGCTCTGACCAGTTCCTCCCTCTGCCAGGAGAGGAGCCCCCAAGGGTGATCCCCCTGATCCCAAAGTATCCCCTTGGCTCCATCCCAACCCCCTGGGTCCCATCCTGGAGGGAAACTGCTGCTCCTGCCCCAGAGATGGGACAGGGTCCTGAGCCGAGTGTGGCTGCAGGGAGCTCGGGGCTGGGCAGGGCACCCACAGCACCTCTTCAGGTGGCAGCCCTGTCACACACACACACACAAGTGACACCAGCTTTCTTTGTGTTTTTATCTCAACTCCCCAGACACCAGATCCCTGTCCCCACCCTGGAATGTCCTGGAATGTCCTTTACACACAGCTACAAAAATCCTGGGAGAGAGGGGGCAGGGCTGGTCCCTGGAGTAGAACTTGGCCAATTCCTTGGAACAAAGTTGGGCTGATTCCTTGGAGTGTGGATGAGCACTGGGATCACAGCTGGGCTGATTCCCAGGATCCAAGCTTGGCCAAGTCCTGGGATCAGAGTTGGGCCCATGCCCCAGATGCAGGCTCTGGGATCAGAGCTGGGCCCATTCCCCAGATCCAAGCCCAGCCATGGGATGCAGTTCATGCTGAGAGGTCACTGTTGTCAAACCTCTCCTGGTCGTAGACCTCGGCCACCACCTTCCTGCCCGCGAACCAGCGCCCGTTGAGCGCCTGGATGGCCTTGTGAGTCTCTGAGGCCATGGAGAATTCCACAAAGATCTTGACGATGATCTCGGCATCCTCCTCCTCCCCCTGCTTCTCCTGGTAGATGATGACCCTGTTGACAGCCCCGAACTTCCCGCACTCTTCCGTCACTTCTCCCTCCAGGTCGTCGTCGATGTCCTTGGGATCCACCATGTTCCGCAGCACCATCACCGTGGACTGCAGGGAAGGGATGGGGGAATTAACGCCTGGAGACACGCACAGGACACACCCGAGCACCCCAACCGCTCCCTGGGGCTGACGGCTCAGGTTCTTAGGGTAATTACTGAGTTTCCAGGTCTGTTTGCTGCTGGCTGTGAGGGATTCCCTGGATCAGAACTCCCCTGGGTTGGGAATGCTGTCTGCCATCCCCTGGGCTTTCCTGGGATACACCTTGGAAGCACAATGAGCCTTGGGCACCGCTCTTATTTTCCTTGTGCTGCTGCCATCCAGGTAATGTTTGGCTTTTCCTCAGCAGTCCCTCAATTCCATCACAATTATCTTTATTTTCCTTTCCTCCCCCTCCCAGTAAAGCTGAAGGCTTCCCCAGGTGTTCTGGGTGCTCCCAGCAGGACACACAGGTAGGTCACACACCTGCCCCCAGGCCCTCTGTGACAGCCCCTTGGGATCTCAGATCGGAAGGGACAGCTGGAAGTCACCTGGCCTGAGCTCCAGGGCCACGTCCAGGTGGCCTTGGCTACTTTCAAGGATGGAAACTCCACTGCCCCTCTGGGCAGGCTGTTCCGTGCACCTGGCCCTGGCACACCTGGGGCATTCCAGGCTCTGCCCCATCCCATTCCAGGCTCCATGTGAACACGTGTCCTGTGGCTGTTCCTCACAGCCCAAATCAAGGGCACTTGGAAGCTCAGAATTCCAAACTGACTGGGATGGAGCATTTTATTAAAAAAGACAAGTTTTGTTTTTTTTGCGTTTTAAATATTTTTGAACCTCAAATAAACTATTTATCTCTGCTAAGCTTCTCCTGAGCCAGGCTGTCCCACAGACTGACTCTTTGGGACAGAGGTTGTGGCTGCTGGGACAGAAGCTCAAAGGTGTGTTTAACTTCAGGCACCCTTGGAAAGTGGAGGGAACCCCTCATTCCTTAGGAAATGCTGCCAGCATGGTCCCTGTTAGCAAATGGGGAAGAAATATTGCAGATTCCCTGTCAAAGCTCAGGAAATCTGTCAGGAAACTCCATCAAAGGAACAAACTGGACATGCCCAGGCAAGATTATGAAGTCTCCTCCAACAGGCCCCACAAAAATCCATTGCTCTGTTTAATGTTCTTTTTCTGTCCCTCATTCTTGTCCTCCTCATTGCAATCCCACGATTTGGATTATGTAGAGAAACACCTTAGGGTTTCACAGAATTAATTCAGGTGGGAAAAGACCTCTAAGACCATTGAGTCCAACCTGTGACCAGTGCCCACCTTATCACCCAGACTGGGGCTCCTCTGGGGTTCTGGACAGGACTCACCCCACTATGGAATGTTGTGGAGAAAAGGTAAACTTGGTACTTGGGACAGATTGGCCTGGACTGTGCCAGTCCCACCTTTCCAGCCCAAAGGCCACCAGGGTTTGATTTAGTGACACCAGGGACAGGGTTCAGTCAGAGACACCTCACCAGGGCCTGCTCCAAGTCCTCCAAGGGACCCAGGCAAGATCACGGAATGCCAGGATGGTTTGGGATGGAGGGACTAAAAGCCCATCCAGTTCCATCCCCTGCCATGGCAGGGACACCTTCCACTATCCCAGGTTGCTCCAAACCCTGTCCAGCCTTGGCCACTTCCAGGGATGGAGCAGCAACAGCTCCTCTGGGCACCTGTGCCAGGGCCTGCCCACCCTGACAGGGAACTAGCCCTGCCCTGTGGCAGCAGGAGGCCACTGGCATTGCAGGCCCAGTCCTGAAGAGCAGAGCTCAGAGGTACTGTGGGTGCTCCTGCAGAGCCACTTGGGCCACGTGTGTCGCCCGCCCGGCCTCACCTCCTGCTTGCGGAGCAGCTTCTGCATGACCATGTGCCGGGCGCTGCTGCCGGAAATGCTCATGTGCTCCTGCTCGCTCAGCATCTCCGGCCGCTCCGACTCCTGGAACACCTCCTCCTCCTCCTTCTCCTTCTTGACCTCCACCAGCCCCAGGGCCGGGGGGCTGGCCAGGATGGGGTTCACGACCCCCACCTGCGGGATGGTCACCGGGATGGGCGGCCGGGCAGGGGTCACACCTGGAGAGCACAGGGACAGAGGATGGTCAGCGACACCCAGTGTGATTACCCAGCTTTCCCCCATGCCAGGAGTTCCTGCTGGGAACCCATGGCCTGTCCCATCTATTGGACAGCAAAATTAATCCATGAACACTCAAGTTCTTGGCCAGGCAGGGCCAGCAGCAGGATTCCTGTTCCGAGTGGACCCAGGCACTGAGCCCTGTGGAAAAGGGATGAGGATAACGAGGCAGAGCAGGTGACAGGAGCAAGGGAACCCACAGAACTGACAAGGGAAGAGCACACATGGGTGACAGGAGGAGGGCACAGACATGCAGGTGACAGGAAGAGAAGCACACAGGTAACAAGAGCACGTGACAGAAGGAAGAGGACACACAGGTGCCAGCAGGAGGGGACCCACCTGTGATGACACCGGGGGCCTGTGCAGCCATCACGGCCTGGGGCAGAGCCCCCAGGGGCTGGGCCAAGGTCAGGGCAGGGGACACAAGCCCTGGTGTCGCCAGCGTGCCCAGCACTGCGGCTCCTGCCACGGCTTCCTGCGGGACACACGGAAAACCCTGGGTCACCCCTGCTCCAGGGACTCTTCCTGCAGAGCATCCAGCCAGGCCCAGCTGTCCTACACCTGGGAAATCCCAGATATTCCCATTCCCAGCAGCTCCCAGTGCTGCTGGGGAAAGTCAAGGCGTCACCCAGCCCAGCAGGGAAACAACAACTGAAGCACCCTGGAAGACAAACCTCCTGGAACTCAAACCCCAATAAACACCCTGACTCCAGATCCCAGAATTCCAATAACATTCAGGAGGAACATCCAGCTGAACAATGAGCACTCCCATGCCATGGAAACACTGAAAACTATGTGCCTAAAACACACCCTGCAATCCCAATGTTTTTGGTTGTTGTTGCTCTCCAGGCAACATTGTAGTCCTGATTCAATTGCTCACATCCTTCTCCTCCCTGTATTCTCAGGGCTCCTGTAATCCTTGATGTAGCAGAGCAGAAGATCCTCAGGTTTTGTCCCTCCCACATGTTCCAGGAGCTGTGACAAAGCTGCTGCCATATCCCAACTCTCCTCTACACAAATGCCCAAACTCTGGAATCCAGCCCATCCCATCATCTGCTCCCAGAGCCCACAAGGCCTCTCCTGTTGCCACTGGAGATGAAGCTCCTAATGAAGGGCAATGGGAAAGTGCTGGAACAAAACCACTGGAATTTCTGGCAACAGTGGTCACCAGCTGCTCCCACTTCTCACTGAGATGGCTAAAAAACTTCTCCCAATACTTTTGATTCTCTCACTTCCTTTCAAGTCTGACTTTTCCTACCTCTGGTAGACAGGGGTGACCCTTACTCCTCTGTCTTTAGTGCCACTCTCCTCACAGGAACAGATGCTGCAGTTTCTTGACATAACAGCAGGATTTATCCATGTCTGTATCACATCTCTACCATTCACTTCAGCACAGTCCATATTCTTTCCCAAAGTGATTTTGATCCAAGTAATTCCAGCCACGGCTCAACTTCCTCCCTCCCTTGACTGCAGAGGTTTCCAGACCTGTGGAATCTTTCCTGGGGACCTGTGAGTTCCACATGAGGGGCAGCTCCTCCCACTGCTGCCTCCACCTTTGATTCAGGGAAACATTCCCCAAAAAGCCTTCCAGAGCCTCAGCTCTGCTGCAGCAGCACCAGGGGCTGCGCTGGCCAGCAACTCCTGCCCAAGAAAACCCCAAACCACAACAGTGCTGGAATTTTCTTTCTCCGTGTGCTACAGTGCCATGGGGGGATCCTGCTGCCCAAGGCAGGGATGGGGGCCCATCACTGCCCTTCCCTGTTTCCCACAGCCTAAAGTCATTCCAGGCCTGTTCCACCCTGCTACAGGTGGGAGCTTCAGCCACAGTGCTGCTCACACAATTGCTCCTGCCCTCATCCCTCTCTCCATTTCCACGTCCTTCCCTGCTTCCTTTCAGCCTCTCCTGCAACCATTTTTCCCTCATTGCTGGTTTGATTTCCACACTAGGAATTCTCTCCACCCTTCCCCACCAGTTCTTGAAATAAAACTCTCATCAGCTGTGCCAGATCATTCCAAAATCTGGTGTCTCAGATTCCCCAGATGCCAGGGACAAGCTTCCACGTGTGAAATCCTAGGACAGAGTATGAACTGGAATCATGGCATCCTGCAATGGTTTGGGTTGGAAGGGACCTTAAAGCTCACCCAATCCCACCCCTGCCATGGGCAGGGACACCTTCCACTATCCCAGGCTGCTCCAAGCCCCATCCAACCTGGCCGTGGAAACTTCCAGGGATGGGGCAGCCACAGCTGCTCTGGGCAACCTGTGCAGTGCTCCGTGCTGTCCCTGTGTCTCACCTGTGCTGTACCCAGAGCTGTCCCTGTGTCTCACCTGTGCTGTGCTCTGAGCTGTCCCTGTGCCCCCCTGAGCCGTCCCTGTGCCCCCCTGAGCCATTCCTGTGTCTCACCTGAGCTGTTGTGCCCAGAGCTGTCCCTGTTCCATCCCTGTGTCTCACCTGAGCTGTGCTCTGAGCTGCCCCTGTGCCCCCCTGAGCCATTCCTGTGTCTCACCTGAGCCGTCCCTGTCTCACCTGAGCCGTGATCTTGGCGGTGGCGGCAGCAGCAGCGACAGCAGCTGCAGGTGGGAGCCCCCCAGGTGTGGCTGGGGTCAGGAGTGGCATTGGGGGTGTCACAGCCTTGCCCACCCGCAGGTACTGACCCCCCAGGTCAAAGAGGTTCATGGAGGAGACAGCGTCCTGGGAGGACTGCGCCTTCTCGTACTCTGTAGGAAGAGATCATTCACAAATGAGCTTTTTGTAGTTCAGTCATGGAATTATGGAATGGTTTGGGTGGGAAAGCACCTTAAAGACCATCCAGTTCCACCCCCTGCCCCCTTCCCTGGGCAGCACCACCTTCCAGTAGCCCAGGTTTCTCCAAGCCTGTTCCACCTGGCTTTGGACACTGCCAAGGATGGGGCAGCCAGAGCTGCTCTGGGCACTCGGTGCCAGGGCTCACCCCCCTCACAGCCACTATCAATTTTGTTTCCAAATCCAGCCCTGACCTGCTCCAAAGGTATTCCTACCACTTAAGGAAATTCCTTCGCCAGGGTGGAAAACCCAGCCCCAAAGCCACCCCCAAGAGCAGAGGACACTCCCCCCCTGCCCTGCCCCGGTTCCAGCCGGCTGTACCAATGAAGCCGTAGCCTTTGTGCTTCCCTGTCGTGGGGTCCCTGGCCAAGGTGCAGGATTTGATCTTCCCAAAGGCTTCGAAGACGCTCTTGATGTCATCGTCCGACAGGTCCTGGTGCACAGAGGCCACGTAGATGCGGTTGAAGGCCCGAGCCTCCTCTGCCAGCTGGTCAATGATGGGCTGAGCCTGCCCGATGTTACTGGGCCTCCCCACCTGCAGGGACAGGGATGGGAATGGAGTTGGGAAGGGCCTGGAGTACCGGGAGTTGAGGGCTGAGGGAGCTGGGAAAGGGGCTCAGCCTGGAGGAGGCTCTGGGGAACCCTTCTGGCTCTGCACAGCTCCCTGACAGGAGGGGATAGCCGGGGAGGCCGGGCTCTGCTCCCAAAGACCAAGAGACAAGAGGAAACGGCCTTGAGCCGTGCCAGGGGAGGTTCAGGCTGGACATCAGGAGGAATTTCATCAAAGAAAGGGTGGTCAGGCCTTGGAAGGGGCTGCCCAAGGGGGTGCTGGAGTTCCCATCTCTGGAGATGTCAAAGGAATGTCTGGATGTGGCACTCAGTGCTCTGAGTGCCAGCTCAGGGCTGGGTGACAGGGTGGGGATGGGTCACAGACTGGACTCGGATGAGCTGGGAGGAGTTTCCCATGTGAACAGTTCCATTCTGTGATATGGATGGTCCATGGAGCAGGGCAGCACCTGGTCCCTCCCTGCCTGTGCAAACCACAGCACACCCCAGAGAACCATCCCTCATCAGCAGAGGGAACAGGAACAGCCTGCACTACTGGGCTCTGCTCCCTCCTCCCTGTACCCCTCCCATTTACCTCCCCTGACCTGCCAAACACCAACTTCCAGGGACTGAGGATTCTGTAAGCAAATCACAGCTGACCCCTTTCCTTCAGGGGCTCCTAAACCCCCTGGGCCATGGGACTCTGCACACACTCAAAGCGTGTCAGAGGCACCACAGAAGATATAAAGAATCACCTTTGCTTTTTCCTCAAGAGAATTCCATGTGTGGGTGGGGAAACCTGAGCTGAGTCCCTGGAGCCAATTTCAGGTGGGACTCGCAGGCTGAGGGTTTCTCCTCGGAGAGGAGGGGCCCAGAGCCACTGTGTGCTCCATGCTGGACATCAAGGTCCATCAGGGAACAGTCTTTAGGTTCCTCCCCCATCACAGTGCTGTGGGGAGCATTTCCAGGCATGAAACCGTTATCGACAGGAAAAGAGAAGCAGGAATTACCAGAGCAGGCACGTTACTTACTCACCTTAATGTTCCTTCCCCCCAGCATGACAGAATTCATCTGCTCCAGGGCCAGCTGGGCAGCTTCAGGAACCTCGTATTCCACAAAGGCAAAGCCCTGGGATGGCAGGAGACACCTGTCAATCACTCCAATCTAATGCAGCCAAGGTTTCCCATGGATCCTCAAATGCCTACAGGTGGAATTGATTCCCAACACACTGATTCCTGCTCGTGGCCCAAGAAGATTCCTTCGAGAAGCATTTTATTGGCAGAAAATGGCTTGCAGAGGTTCCCCCCAAGGGCATCTCATTCTGGAGCCTCTGGGACTGCAGCAAAACCCCACCTAACTAAGAGGTGCTACCTTGTCAGCACTTCCAGCAGAGCTTCAGGTTGGACATCAGTGGGAATTTCTTAATGGAAAGGGTGGTCAGGCATTGGAAGGGGCTGCCCAGGGAGGTGCAGAGTCCCCATCCCTGGAGATGTCCAAGGAATGACTGAATGTGGCACTCAGTGCTCTGGGCACTCTTTTCCAACCTCAAGGATTCTGATTCCATGCACTTCACCCCAGACACCCTGGCTCCCATCACAGAATCCTGCCCTAAACAGATCAGGGAGCTGCAAACCTTCACCCCCAGTGCTAAAAGGAGCCTGTTCTTCATAGGGATAGAGGTCCTTTCCTCTCATGGCTGCATCTGGAAAGCCTTGAAGAGAGGAGGATGTTCCTTAAGGGTTGGGAATTACAGAATCACGGAAAAGTTTGGGTTGTAGGGACCTCAGAGCCCGTCCAGTTTCACACCTTCCACTAGATCAGGCTCCAAGCCCCATCCAGCCTGAGCTTGGACACTTACAGGGATGGGGCAGCCACAGATTCTCTGTGCAACCTGTGCCAGGGGCTCCTCACCCTCTCAGGGAAGGATTCCTTCCCAATATCTCATCCAGAATCCTGCAAAGCTGGTTATTTAGTGTTCAGGACACACGGCTGAAAGAAATGTCCTTGCAGAAGACCCCAAAATGCTTCATCACTGGGGAATCAGCAGTGCCCCCAAAGAATTCCATCCCTTCCCAAGACAGCTCTTTGCCAGATACAGCCAATCCCACAACGGTTTGGGTGGGAGAGGACCTGAAAGCTCATCCAGTTCCACCCCGTGCCACAGGCAGGGAACCCCCAGCGGGCTGGCAGTCCCATCCCACCTTGTGCTTCATGGTGACCGAGTCCCAGGACATGTCGATGCTCTTGATGGGCCCGAAGGGGGCGAAGGCCTGGCGGATGGTGTCCTCCCCCAGCTCGTAGTAGATGGAGCCCACGTAGACCCGGCACATGATGGCGAGTGCCCGCTGCCTCTGAGCCGCCATCTGTAGCGAGACAAGGACTGGCTGGTCAGTGCCGGGCTGGCCGTGGCCACTGGGGCCTCCTCCCCCTCCTGCTTCCCTCCCGGGAGCCACCCCCGGCGGCAGCTCTGGCACAGCCTGGATCAGAAGGATTTCCCTGCTCGCTGCACAGGGCGCTGGAGCGGATCCATCCGGCTCACTCCCGGATAAAGTCCGGCTCGTCCTGGGGCAGACGCCTCTCGGCCCCTCCGGCCGGGTCTCCCCCAGCCTGATCTCATCTCCAGCCACACCTGCAGGAGGAGGGAATCCCTTCGCTCTAGGGCAGCTTCCCCCTCCAGGCAGCAAAGGGCTCAGCTCTGGGCACTGGGAGAATCCCTCCCGCTCCCCCCAACAGCAGAGATCCATCGGCACTCCCGCCCCCGCCCCGTCCTCCC